CTCCCCCCCCCCCGGGCCAACAAATTGCCTTAGGACATTATATGACGTCTTACATGACGTACTGGGATCAAAATGCGCTTTCATCATTGTAATGACGAACTAATCTTTGTCATTAAGTAAACATTGCAAAAATGTCCCAGAAACTGTACAATGAATAAAAAAGTTAGAATTTTGTGAAAAAATGGACTAAATTTCAAACTAAAGCACAGAAATGCTCAAAAGTCCATTTTATCCGGGAGATTTGGTGCTCTAACCGGGAGATTGGGAGATCTGATGAAAAACTTGGAGACTCCCGGGAAAACCGGGAGAGTTGGCAGGTATGTGTTGTAATAAGTTGATCGGTGAGTATAAATATGGCACTGTTATCACTGTTTTTCGATTTACATTGCGGAGTTATATGCTTGTACGATTTACATTTGCGGATTTACATTGCGGATTTACTTGACTGTATGATTTACGTTCACGAGCTGAAGATTAAACTGTTGAAGTCCAAGTTGGAGTCCTGTCCTGTTTCCAGTTGTAGCAGATCCTAGTACCTTGGAATACCGTGACGAGTTCCTTTCCCCCTAGCCAAGCGAGTTGCAGAGTTAGTTTTCCCCTTGTTGTTCTTACGCCGAAGTCGCTCGAATTCTCTTATTAAACGCTTATTTTCCCGATTTGTGCTTGGAAGGGCAAAAACTATCGTTACAGTGGTTAGAGAAACAGTGCAGCTTCAACTGGAACACTTGAGGACAAGCAAGAACAAATCAGTTACGACAAGCTTAATGGTTCGTAACCACGCTATGTAAATCCCTTGGAGCGCTGATGAAAAGCTTTTAGTCGCCCAAGTACTCGAGTAACACCTATTTGTTGACCTATATGCATTCCGTGAAGAAAATGAAGAAAGTATTAACGAAGACTTTTCCAAGATATTATTTGCGAAGCCGCAAGCGCTATGCTCCCCTTTTCAAGCCTGTTGTGTCCGTAGCAAACCAAGAAACACAAGCCGATTTATCCGACGAAGACCGTGAAGCTTTATTTGCCGAATTGCCTTTCCGCTGGGTTTCCAGTCCCGAAATTGACGCCGAAGTTGAAGTTCCTCTAAACCCGAGTTCAAGTTACACGTATCCAGTGCCAGGTTCAAGCCAAGTTACACCGACCACCCGACATTCAACAGCATTTTCCACTCCTAATCAAGGTGAAATAACAGGGCGCGATCCATTCAACCAAACTTTCCGGAAATTTCGGTCCAAAACTCAATGGATCGGTTCGGTCCAACCGGAAAAGTTTCGAAAAAACGGGTCCACCTTTTGAGGTGGTCCTCTTTTCCCGGTCGGACCGGTTGGAATTTTGGTTGAATGGATCGCGCTCAACAGATTTTGATCCCCGCGATATTGTGCCCAAGTGATCCTGAAGAAGAAGAACGATGTTCTTAAAGGAATTAAACGAGCTATTTCGAGAAAATTGATCAAAATTTCTGACTGCCGGGTATCTAGGTTTTTCAAAACAGTTCCCGGCTGCCGGGTATCTAGACTCGTCGGAAGAAGAAATACGCGATATCATTCCAACGCCTTGCCAAGTACGCTCGCATCATTTCAGTTCATTCTTCACTGAACATTCAGAAGAACAAAACAGTGATAACGGTGCTATATTTATACTAACCGATCAACTTATTACAACATCACAAAACAAAGGGAAAGAAGGCTGAATAAAACCAGCTGATAATACGCTGATAATACCACAGAAAACCGAAAAACGAAAATGAAATTTGAATTCCATTTTTCCTTACCACTGAAAATCGGTTGGCACTATAGTGTACACGCATGCAGTAAGCAACTTCTTCCTACTTTGGCTTCTTCTTAGTCTTCTTAAAAACCTGCTGGCACCTCTCTGAATATTGGACGTTTGTGCGGAGGGATGAAAGACGGGCTCCCCTGCGTGGGAGGCTACTCTGACAGGACATTGTAACCAAAAGGCCTCTCTTGTCACTAAAGTTTAGTAATCCGGTCTTCGGGTCTTCGGGTCCTTGTTACGATGTTTAAAATCCACAACGCTCTTTAACTTTATTCAAGTTCCAGATTATAATATCAGTAAAATATACTAAATACTAATAATCTGAGTTAGGCTTAAAACAGAATTCAAGATTCCTTGAAAAATAAGGCCACTCTTCAGTACCGTCACTGTCAGTACGACGAAGGTGAAAAGCGTGATTATAACTCGCTTCTATGTTGTAATCGAAACGAGACTTCTTTCACAACGTATATTAACAGCTAATTGGGTCATTTTAACAGGGTAAAAAAGAGACGAGTCTGATCTTGTGTCTATTCCCGCGATACATACACCTTTCACACGTGAAAAAAGCGAGACGTTTCGCTTTCATTACAACAAGTGGGGAACAAAAAGCGAAACATTTAGCTACTATATACAATCCGGCATGTCAACTACCGCTTTTTACGTTTTTAATAGCAATGGCGACAAATAAGTTACAAGCAATGAGGCTATAAAGGCACACATTAAAAAATTATGACTCTGAATTGTGTATTAATATTGTTATGAAAAATCAGCTTTGCTGAATGTTACAATAAGGAAATTATCTAGTCTTTCTTGTAGCTAATCTGGTGCAATGATTATTCCTTCACAGCTAAATGGTGTTGATCAATTATTCTTAAATTCACTTTCAGAGACTAAACTCTCAGTATAAATCCACTTCTGCTGAAGACTGCCGGTATCGTGCCACATTCGGACTGGGGTTGAAACATTTGTATTCCCATCTGTTATTTCCATAACAAGGTCACTCAGCAGGCTCACTATCTGGCCATTTCTATACTCCCATTTTTGATTTGGATTACCAGTTGGAAAATAACCAATGCAGTTGGTTCCCTCTTCAGTATGGCTATACATGACATCCGCCACAAGGCCCATTTTGCTGACAAGAGTGTCATTTGGTCCGTTCTTCCACAGCTGATTGGCTCCTCCATATGCTGGGTACATCACGAGTAAACCATCACGTCTAAAACCATCAATGGTGAGGACGAGTTGATTAAGTTGGCTTTCTATGTAGAAATAGTCCGACATCTCGGCTTAGGACTTGTTCAGTCAAGGTAAACAGAGATATCTTGGGTTAGCCTTGTTTCTCCTGATCTGCTGGCCTAAAATAACAATCCAGTCAATCGATTAACCAATGACTTTGTTTGAGTGTCAGGGATTTCCAGCTAAGGGTAGAAGTCTCTACTAAACTTCTGACCTGATTTAGTCGAAAAAGCTCCCTGGTACAATCCAGGATGGAATTTACTTTTCTTTCCATCGATCGTTTCGGAGCATCTATAGATCATCGTTTTATTTATCCACGATTTTCCCTTAACGCTCACGCAATTTCTTACCCTTATCTCTTCCTTTTTTGAGAATGCGGCGTTTTTTTAATTAAAAAGGAACGAAATCTCAAAGTGAGGCTTTAGAATATAGCACATGCAGTAAACTGAGCCAGCAGCCTATCGCCGATCCAATCGCCAACAACCAAGTGAGTTAATTTCCCCTCCTCAGCCTGTGTAAGTGTTCGTTTTGTTGCAAAAGCGATTTTCTGCGTCCAAGACTTTCTGGGCCGACAAGGCCCCTCAGTCACCCGGAGCAAAAAGTTACCTTTGATCAACGAAATGAAATGTTAAAAAGTGATATAGATCATTGAGGACCTTCGTTAAACCTCACTGATTAGAAATGAAAATCTGACCCGGATATCTGGTCGAATTATAGTGATTACTCCAATATTCAACACCCGGGAATAAATCTGAGCTCGATTAATCGGTGAAATATCTAGCGCGAACCAGGGCGAACGCTTTTAGAACCGGCCTGACAAGGAGTGAACTCACTCATGTCATGATCGTTAGAGAATGATAATTAAAAGACAATTTTGAAAGAATTTACCTCAGAACTGCAGTCAGCGCCCGCTGCCTCTTGAATCACTTCAGTCGTAAAATGTTACGCTGAAGAAGATCTCGACTACCTTCCGTCCTGCCTTTCGATCTAAGAAAGGGCTCGACACGGGCAAATCCCATTCTTGTACTGGCAATTAACCAATAACTGCCAGATAGTGATGATGGAGATTGGAAAAAAGCTGGAAAAAAACAACAACAATGACCCTATTCATAATCTGCTATCCACTTAGTGAAGGGAATTTCTGCAGTGAAAACATTGATGACTCAAATGACAAAAGACTGTTTACATTGAGGGTGATTTCACTCAAGTACTCGCTATAACGCAATACAAGACAACTACAGCTGGACCATTAGGCTCTCACGTTGCTTTTACGTGTTCATACCTATTCCCTACCTCTATAATAAGTTAGAACCTGGAAACGACAAACAGACGTGTGGGCATTATATGAACCTTGCGATAAAGCTAACGTTACGGAAGTGAAAGTTTTCCGTCCAGGAGTTGTCTTTGAATCTAGGACAGGAACTATATTATAATTAATATTTGCTTCCAAAATGTTCAATCTTGTCGGTTTGATAAAATTGTGTGGATTTTATAAAAAGTAGAAACAAGATGGCATCAGTCATCCTCCGCTTGGTTGTCAGTTAACGACATCCGACCTCATGGTAACCCTACCAGCCATGCAATTTGAGCCTCTTCAAAGGCTTGTATTTTTTCTTGGGTGAATGACACCGTCTTCGCATGGATCCACGCTACAGATAGTTTTCTTTGCGTAGCTGTAAGTAAATACATTTTAAAATACAGTATAAGTACGTACAGCTTACATTATCTGATGTGAAAAAAGTGTTTAGGACTACTGGTTATGAAAAAGTATTATTAAAAAAAGTTAAGGGCTCGGACAAGCAGCCGGGCCCGGTGCAGGACTCGATTCCTTGTAGTCCACTTTGTTTTTTAATTTAGCTAAGTTAAGCAAAGAGGTTGAACCTGGATACCCTGCACGGAGCTTCCACCATTTCTTGGAAAGCACATCACATGGACAAGCCTCATTCTTGCAGTGGCAAACAACCAATCGGGTCTCAAAAATTAAAGTCATGCAGAAAACAATGACAGAGGTCAAACACTCAGGGGGAAAGTATACACAACGTATTAAGTTCTTCTCAACAGTCATCTACGTGGTGAAAGCATTTTATGCAGTGAAATAATAATAATGTGTGATTTTGAAGAGGGCCGTCAGGTCAGAGAGTGAATAAGCAAAGGCAAGAAAGAGTAACGATTTTCTTCTTTGTCTTTCTTGTGATCCCCGGCTTGGAACTTTTTTTCTGACCGCATGCAAGCTGAAACAGCCAAAGACCACATCTTTCAAACATCAGGATAGAAAGCCATTGCTTATTATTCTACATGCAGCTTGCCATTTTCTTGGAAGTTGATGAAGAGCAACTTTACTAAGTACAAGGCATTCATCTGGTATTGCAACTGAAGATACAAGACTGTAAATCGTGTGCGAACCTAGCCTGTCTAGCCTGTTCATCTAACAGGTAACTGAAACTGTTTTTTAACGTCTCGTAACCTTTTCATGTTAATGAATAAGATGAATTTTCCCTCAAGGCGCGAGAAAACTGGCTATCACCGCGGAAGCAAATGTCTCGGCAGATTCCCCCCTTCAAGAAATAAATCAGTCTAGGAAGACAGGTCTTGCTTTCTAAGGGTCGCAGTCAGGCAATTCCTGCATCGAGGCATTATCAGAAAGAAATATTAAATGATACTAGATATGGGTGAAGACAAGCTGAGAATATCTTGCCTTTAAGACTTCTATTTCTTTGTTTATTTTTTCTTTGCATTATTGTCCTATTTTATTTTAAAATGCGAATAGCAAAGCATCTGTAACATTCGCTCTTTGTCGGCCATTTCCCGGAATTCATGTATTCCAAGGGTCACACCGCATCCAGTTTTAGTTCGCCGCGACCTCCAAATATGGTCATGACGTTTCCAACTCCGAGAAAACACATCAGTAAGAATGGACACGTTTTTGCAACACAAAAAAATTTGCGGTCACTGTGATTTTGCCAATGATGCCCTCAAGATCAGTTTGCTGTTTCATATTTTTCTACAAGTTTAATTGACTTGTACTGATCCAGATCTACAACTGGGAGATCCAGCACCACTCATTGGTTTGTTGCTGTGGACTTACTAACGTAAATTTTTATATTTTGGAACCAACTCACCCTCTACTCCCACCCCACCCCTGGTTCAAACTGTTCCCATCCAGTCTTCTTGTTCTGTTCGTTAATTTCTGATCTATTTGTTAACCTTCATTCGGGGAGATTAACTTGGAAATTAACAGCCTTTGTAAATGCTTTGACAAATGCCGGCCCCAAGTGACGCATAAGTGGTACAGGGGGAGGGGTAGGGGCACATGAGACTGGGGTTTTCTTCAACAAATTATGTAAACTGCCTCGATTGATAGTTTCCGGGAGAACTAGATTTACTGTCACGGTAATTCTCGTTTCTGTGCCTTTTCCCTTTCCTCCCTCGCCACCGCAAACCCAACTGCAAACCCCCCGTCCATTTTTTTGTTCACTTATTCCCAGGCTTTTTCGATTCCCAATATGGCGGTGAAGATGGACCCGTCTTGCACAACTTCCTAGGACCTTTCTAGCAGTTGATCTATTGAAGGGAGGAGAAAATGTATTTATCCGGAATGCGTATGGTCGCTATAGGATGGTAAGGAAGTTCATTTTACCTTTTTAATAATTCTCTAAATAGTATATTGGCAATCTTGTCTTTTGCCTGCGTGCAGACATCTATCTCCTTAGTTGCACACGGAAAAGTCCCTTTTCCGCGTGTATGGCGTACATTTGCGGACAAAAATAATTGAAAATAAAAGACAATTTGAAGTTCAAAAATTAGACTATCCATGTCGAAATCTCGACATATGATTCATGTAATTTGCATTTTAGTTGGAATGGTGATTTGAACTTTAACATCCGCGATGTCGAGTTTTCCCTTTATAGTTTCAACTTGTTCAAAGTAACTTCAAGTTCGAATGATGCTATTTCGACTGCGTTCATTGCGATTTCAAATTCATATGACGAGATTTCGACATGGATAGTCTAATTTTTGAACTTCAAATTGTCTTTTATTTTCAATTATTTTTGTCCGCAAATGTACTCCATACGCGTGCAACAAAGGAAATAGGAGACGTATTCACGCAGGCAATCTTGTCTTCTTACTGCTTGTCTTTCATTGTTTGTAATCATGCCCTTAATTCACGTGGCCACTTTGTTCATAATCGGTCAGTGTAAAACGCAGACTGCGGACTGCAGACTGCAGACTGCGGACCAGGGGTAAAATGCAGACTGAGTGTAAAATGCAGACTGCAGGCTAAGAGTAAAACGCAGGCTGGGGTAAAATGCAGAATAAAGACTGCAAACTTTTTTAAACATTTGTGCTCCTTCTTCTCCAAATCGGTGAAATAGCTAGCCGGTATCAGTTACATACTTCACTTCCTAGTCGAAGTGCATTGCACATTCGCCTGAAGTTTCAATGAACATCTGAACAGCTTAAGTCTGCGTACCTTGATTTGCAATACTTTCATAGAAGGTCATCCAAATTTCCTGCAGAACATCTTTATTTGTTGTTGGAATGATTTACTCCCATTTTTATCGCCATAATTCTTCCTGTACAGTATTTTGGGTCAGCAGCTTTCATTTAAGCGTAAACATCGTGGTGTTGTATCAGTTCACGGTCCCTGGTGACATATATCCGAAAACCTCGCATTTAAAGTTGAAGCGTGAAGTCTCTCGGACAGGAAAAAGGTTCAAGATTGCGATTATGTTTTCGGGTCGTCGACGACGTTCCAGAGAAGAAAGGAATGGATTTGTGAAAGCAGATGTCGTCAAGTAAGTGTTCGTTTACATGTATTTGCGGAATTTTTTTGCCCTTAAACACTTCCACGACTACAGTTTATGCTCGGTCTGCATTTTACCCCAGCCTGCCTTTTACTCTTAGTCTGCAGTCTGCATTTTACACTCAGTCTGCATTTTGTCCCTGGTCCGCAGTCTGCAGTCTGCAGTCCGCAGTCTGCGTTTTACACTGACCGGTTTCATAATACACTAAAATTTCAAGGAGAAATTTGGTCAATGTTGATTAAAGGGTTTAAATTTATTCTATATTAAAAAACCTCAGACCTGACACCTGCCTATAGAATGAGACTGATGGTGGGATCTAAACAACAAGAGGGTTGCAATTTTCTGGACAGGAATGAAGAACTTAAATTTCATCAAGTTTCTCTTCTGATGGCTAGGGAACAATCAAGTTTGTTTGTAAATTTATACTTATTACATTTGTATTATTTTTTCCTTTACTCGAAGGGTGGTGGTTATTACCAGTGGGATATCATCTTTTATATTTGTAAAGAGATACATTGACAAAAAGAGACTGGAGCTGATTAAAGCAAAAGGACGAGAAAGAATGCTACAAGCACAAAAAGAACATGACAAGAAGACCTAAAAATTAGAAATTTTTTCCTACAAAAGCGAAAAGTTGTAAGAAGGAATAGCAAGACCTACACATGTACTGGTCATGATAAATGAGCCAACGATGGGGAAGTCTTTTCTGCCTCATCTTTGCAGAAAATGTGACATCCTTAATATTTCTCTGAATTATAAGGTCATGTCGGTCATATTTCCTCTGATGCAAAGAATAACAGTCATAAGCAATGAGCATGACGGTAGCTTGGATCAATGTACATACAGCATGGATGTTGGTGATCTGAAAACATCTAACAATAGCAGCTGCATCTTTTTTGTCATGGGAGAAAAGCAACATGTTTCACAAAAGCCAAAGGGGCAAAAGGCCAGTCTCACTTCTATGACCACCACATGCATGTCTTTTTTTCAGACATGGGTAAACCAGCTCATTATTGGTAAACAGGGTAAAAAAGAAACCAAGTATTTCGTATCTGTACCTGGCACGAATATACACCTTTTCTTCACATAAAAGAAGTCAGAGGTTGGACGTCCAACAGTCAGTGAAAAAAGTGAAATATTTGCTGCTGTATATAATCCTTATTTATAGTAACTCTGAAATTAATCAAGCTTGGTTACTAAGGCCAGTTACAAAAAAACTGTGGAGCAAAGAAATTGAATTGTGCATTATTATTAAAATGCATTTAAAAACCTTTGCTGAATGCTATAAGTAGTAAATGAACAGATTTAAACAAAAGCAATAAAAATATTAACCTGTCCTTCTTGCAGATAATCTGCAACATTGATTAGTTGTAAAAAGCCAAATCTTATGCTATTCACTTATTCGTCCATCTAAATCTGGTGTCCCAAAAATTTCACTGGAGATTTCACTTTTGGGAACAACTGAAACACCACTTCTGCTGGAGGTTTCCATCATCTTGCCACATCTGAACTGGGGTGGGCACTTTTGTATCTCCATTTCGTATATCAATAACAAGATTATTCATGGTGCTCGTTATCTGGCCATTTCTTGCTTATATGTTGTTATGGAAGAGATGCTTTATACCAGCTGATTGGTTTACAGGGTAAAAGAGAGACGAAACATCTTTGCTCTATGCCCAAAAACATACACCTTTCTTTCTGCAAAAGAAGCAAGACCTTTCGCTTCCAACAGTTGGTGGGGAAAAAGAAGCGAAAGATTTACCTACTATACATAATCCTTATTGACATAACTCTGGCATATATCAAGTTTTATTTTCTTGATAGCAACAACAACAAATGAATTACAAGCTAAATGCGATTATTAAGTCACATTACGCAAAAGAAAGAAGTTAAAATGTGCATAGGTTTAAAATAGTATAGTCAGCTTTGCTTAATGCTATGATAGAAGATACGCAGATTGCAATAAGAACACTTATGGTGTCCTTCTTACAGCAAATCCAGCAAAATGATTATTCCTACTCAGTGAGCTGAACTTAATCTGTGTCAATCACTTCTCATCAAGTTCACTTTCGGGGACAAGATTCCACTTCTGTTGGGGTTCTCCGGTATTTTGCCACATTTGGACTGGGGTGGACACGGTTGTATTGGCATCTGTGATATCAATAACAAGGTCATTAAGCTTGCTGATTATCTGGCCATTTTCATAACTCCATTTTTGATTGTCAGCACCAGTTGGAAAATAGCCGATGCACTTGGTTTCAGGGACTGTAGAGCCATCTTTTACATCAGCTACCAGGCCCATTTTGCTGACAAGGGTATCATTTGGACCAAATTTCCACAGCTGATTAGCACCCCCATATATTGGGTACATCGCGAGTAAACCAGTCACGGTAAACCCATCAATAGTAAGGACGAATTGACTTTGAAGTTGAGTTTGTAGGTAGAAATAGCCTGACATTTCAGCGTAGAACTTGAGATACCCTGTGTAAGTCTTGTTTTTTAGCGACCTACAATAACAATCCAATCAATCTATTAATCAATGACTTTCAGGTTTGAGAGTCTATGATTTCCAGCTAAGGGGAGATTCTTCGACTATACCGGCTTCTGACCTGATTTTGTCGAAAAAGCCACCGTTATCTCCCACTTCTTTTTAAAATGTAGCATTTTTTAACCTTTCTATAACCTACCCAATAGGACCCAGAGCTGTAATCCAGCATTGTTATATCCTCTCCCGGGATCTCGCTCAACGATTTTCAGCGCAAAATAAGTGTGGTGAATTTTCAAATCCGAGACTTTCTCGAACGACTGGACCTTTATTAGCCTGGGACCATGCTCCGTACTGGTGGGAAAAGGTAAAAAAACGGGGTAAAACAGCAAAAATTAAAAATCTGCGAGCGAAGCAAGCCGAGAGGTAGCTTGACCTTTATTTAAAAACACTGCGGTACGAGACGTTACTTTTGATCAACTTTGAGTCGCGTCAGAGGCGTGACGATATTGCCTGAGTATCAGGCAACAGGCAGAGAGAGCAGTGGGTTGTGATAAAGTTAAATCGAAACGAAACGTTGATCATAAGGCACCTTTCGTTGGTAAATCTTTTGAATATAATCAGAGGAGAAAATTTTCTGACTGTCTGTGTAGAACTGGTTGACTAGTGGTGACTCCAATTGTCAAATCAGGGAATTAACCCTGGCTCGAATCGAATAAATCTTGGTGTGAACTCTTGTAGACCTGGGCTTACAGCGTGTGAACTCACTCATCCTATGATCGTTACAGCCAAGTAAAAGACAATTTTGAAAGTATTTACCTCGGAACTGTAGTCAGCGCCTGCTGCCCCGCTTTTGGATTGCTCCTGTCCGGCGTAAAATGTTTAGCTAAAGAAGAATGATCTCGACTTATACCTTCTGTATAATGCCTTTCCAAGAAAGGACTCGACAAATTCTATGCCAAATAATGATGACAGAGGTCGGAAAAGGGTGAAATAGAGCAATCAACTCTATTCATAATTTGTCACCCACATAGTGAAAGTAATTTCTGCAGTAAAAGCATTGATAATATCCTGCAGTAATTCAAAAGAGGGCTATCGGCAGAGAGACCAATTAATCAGAACGAGACGAACGAATGTCGTAAGTCGGCCTGGTAGACTGAAAGATAAAAAGACTTTTAGATTGAGGGTAATTTTACTAGAGTACTTGCCATAACACAGTTCAAGACGTACTACACCTGTGCCATTCTAATGAGAGGTTTTCACATTTCGTTTATGTGTTTATGCCTGTTTCTAATCCGGAAACTGTCCAGGAAGTGTTGTTGAATCTGGGACAGATAAGAATAATTAATGTTTGCTTCCAGAACGGTTTAATTTTATCGGTTTGATAAAATGTTTGGATTTAGAAAGTAGAAACAAGATGTGCTATTCTTCGCTTGGCAGTTACTGAACGATGACATCCATACCTAACGGTACTTGAAATGGGTCTCTTAAAAGGCTTCTTAGCCTTCTAGTCTCTTTGGTGAATGACATCGTCTTCGCATGGATCCACGATGCAGATTGTTTTCTCCCCGTATCAATTCCGTAGCTGTAAGTAAACACATTTCAAAATAAAAATATGTGAAAATATTCCAAAACCCTGGAGTGACATAAGCTGATATGATGTTTTTTAATAATTCAGGGCGACTGCTGGTAAGTCAAGTGCGTCGGACAAGCAGGACTCGATTCCTTGTCATGAGTCCACTTCTTTATTTGCCCAATATATTATGTTTTGCTGAAGCAAATAGATTGATTCTGGGTACCTTGTAGAACTTCCGCAATTTCTCGGAAAGTACTCACATGGACAAGCCCTGTTCTTGCAGTGGCAAACAACCAATAGGGTCTTTAAAAGCCAGACAACAGCCGGGACAACAGTGACAGAGGTCAAACACTCAGGGGTAAAGTATATAACAACGTATTTAGTTCTTCTCAACTCTAAACCAGGTGGTGAAAGCATTTTATGCAGTGAAAGAATAATAATGTGTGATTTTGAAGAGGGCCGTCAGGTCAGAGAGTGAATAAGTAAAGGTAAGAACGAGTTTGTTTTCTTTTTTTCTCTTGTGCTTCTTGAACTTTTTCTGTGTCAGCTTGCAAGCTGAGACAGCTCAAGGATTGAAAGCCATTTCTTATCATTATTCTACATGCAGCTTGCTATTTCCTTGGCATTTGATTAAGAGCAACTTTACTACAAGGCATTCATTTGGTAGTGCAACCGTGAAGATAATACAGGACTGTAAACCGTCTGCGAATCTAGGCTGTTCATATAACAGGTAACTGAAACTATTTTTCAGACATCTCGTAACTTTTTCATGTTTTAACAGGATGAATTTTCTCTCAGGGTGCGATAAAACTCGCTATCACCACGGAAGCAAATGTCGCGGCAGATTCCCCCCTTCAAGAAATAAATCAGTCTAGGAAGACAGGTCTTGCTTTCTAAGGGTCGCAGTCAGGCGATCCCACAATTCCTGCATCGAGGCATTATCAGAAAAAAATATTAAATGATACTAGATATGGGTGAAGACAAGCTGAGAATATCTTGCCTTTAAGACTTCTATTTCTTTGTTTATTTTTTCTTTGCATTATTGTCCTATTTTATTTTAAAATGCGAATAGCAAAGCATCTGTAACATTCGCTCTTTGTCGGCCATTTCCCGGAATTCATGTATTCGAAGGGTCACGCATCCAGCTTTAGTTCGCTGCGACCTCCAAATATGGTCATGACGTTTCCAACTCCGAGAAAACACACCAGTAAGAATGGACGCGTTTTTGCAACACAAAAAAATTTGCGGTCACTGCGATTTTGCCTTATGGGCACTTTTTGCTGTCAGTATCCACTGGAACCAAAAGGGAATTTCTGTATGTCGCGTCCAAAGACGTTTAAGGTGGCTCTCTAGAGTAAATTGGTTATGCGCAGCTTGAGCACTAGTATGGCGTGAGGTTTAAAATCCGCCCGACGTCCACGCAAAATTAAAATAAAACAAACATGGCCTCTCAGTAGCGAAATATTCCCCCAAAAAACTTTATTAACTTTCATTAGAGGAGACAATGTGACTCCGGTGACAAGTCACTATCGATCTCTGTAAGAGTAAATTGTATGTATAAATGAAGCAGAAATTTTCCAAGGACATCAATTCTTTGGCTTCAAAAGTAGGCAAGCTGAACGTAAAATACTCGAAGAAAATACTCTAGGGAGCCACCTTAAGTCTAACAGCAGGGGTCTCCGTGTTTTCTTGAGTCGCAGTAGTGGGACTCTCCTCCCCTATTATTAACCTGCAGGTATATGTATATGTACGGGTTGTGGAAGTGCCTCATACATGTTCATAACCCTGATAACCATACAGTGTTTAAGGTTACAATCGATATGCGAAAATTAACGGTACAGTGTTAAAAAGATCACGTAACCACCTGATGCTAACAGGTTTCACTAAATCACTTTTTGTTTCCTCTTTTAGAAAACATTCTATTTGAAGACGGATGGCTAAGGAAAATCGTGAGAGCGTTTCCTTTAGTGAGAAGGTAGACATAACCTCATTATGCTCTATCATGATACCTAGTGATTGTAACTGCATTGTTAGGCTATCGCCTAAAGGCGTAGACCTGGGCGCATGATCTTTTAGTTCATGGCCGCTGAGCTAGAAGCTCTATTGATAAATACTAGAAATACGTTATTGTATAACCTCGCGAGGCTCGTTGGAGAGTGAACCTTAAAATGTTAGGGATGTAAGGATGTAGGGAGAAAAATAGAGTCAACTGTATAACTGGGGATGGCAGGTTTCAACAGAGGTTCGAAGCTGAGATATACTCTATCTTCTTTTGGTTGGAGCAAATTTGAACCCAGTCCCCTAGTCCCCTATTGAAGGACTAAATTAACTGCAAAAACCGTGGACGAAGATCCAGCTAGTTGTAAACGTTGGATCTCTAGAAAAGAGATCTAAAGAAAAGAGATTTATGGTTGAATATTATATCAAACATTTTTGCAGATGCGAATATACCTGGACAAAAAATGGAAATGGTTCATTGTGATAGTTTTCTCTGTGACAGCTGTGGCTATGGTAGCCTCTTGGCGAAACTATTCGCCGCATTCTGGGTGAGATAAATTACTTTAATAGACAAAAGTAACTCTTTGATTTGATAGTCACAGTAACAGTAACAGCAAGCAAAACAATATCATCATAAAAGAAAAGGAAAAGGATCATGAGGCGGTTTTTATCACTCAATTTAAAGAGAAGTGATGCGGCAAGTACCGCAGAAGACCTTTCAGACTTAATATGAGAAAAAGGTTTTTACATGGAATTGAACTTCAGAAATGTTTTATAACTACGATTTTTATTCAAATGTACCCATTGCATCCGGAATTACTCAAGCAAAATAAATTTTTAAAACTTAAGTTTATTTTTTTCCATTGTATCCTCTCATTTATGGTCGCTCCCTCTCTGAGTTTCTTTTCAACACACGTGAATCAATTTGTCTTGTATCTGACAGATCCAAACCTCCCGTATCTCTTTCAAGATTTGTATCGCCGCATGCGAAACCAAGACTGCAGAGTGACGGCGAGCAAATGACGTTTGACGTCGGTAAGTTAGCGGTTTTAGTTTTCTTTTGGTGGACTTAAGATTGAAATTCGTTGGAAACAGGTGCCCCCAGGAAAGGGTCATAATAAAAGTTATTTGTTTGTTTAGATCGACAAAAACATTACTAAGTAAATTTCGAAAAGGGGTGTAGTCATCCACATTCGTGAGTGTATCCTTGTACCTTCCGACGTCAAAATATTTTGCAGTCTCAAAGGGAAGTTTGTTTTTTAATCGATTTTGTAACTTAAATCAGGTGTGAACGAAACGCTTTATAACAACAATCTCAGAGAGAGCACCAACAAGACCGTATTATATTCTCGCAAAAATGAACCGCTGCATGGTCACCGCGATGCTACCCAAGGTCGTCCGATGTAAGACCCCTCCATAGCTAATACTGTGGAAGATTTAACTTACTTTTTAATTGTTCAAACTCTTGCCGCGGGAAGAATTTGTGTTTGAATGAAGTTTCCTTACACTTTCTTTCTCTATGATACCAGGGGTTGCAATGGATCCAGAAATCCGAGACTGCAGTAGTGAAACCCATTGGAAGAAGACGTTCTCTGATCTAGACTACAGCCTCATTGGTTATGATATCCTATTTGGTTATCCTCTAGCCAACGGACGCGATCCTGGATTCAGACAACCTATATTCACGGCTAATTACTCCAAACCCAAACAGACAGCGGATTGCCGTCACGTGATCCCACAAGGCTTTACTGTGATCCCCAGCGAATCTTGTGTGGTATCATTTGATTCGAAGTTAATTCATAATAAACAGCAGATGTCTATACACCTTGGAGTACAAGCGAGCGTCAAAGGTTTGCCAATGAAATGTAGCCTACTAATTGCCCAACAAAACTGGAAACAAAAGACGAAGCAAGAAAAGCGAAAGAAGTGCGAAAAAGCCAAAATCGCGAAATTTTGCATTCTGCGCATGCCCGAACTTTGGAAGCTAATCGTTTGCGCGATCAGGGGGCCGTATACTGTATGACCTGTAAACGGCTGTTGGTAGCCAGACAGTGACCAGAAAACGGCTCGACTAGCTTCAAAACGCGTTTTTGGGCAAAATTCCCCTTTTTGAAATACATGAATCAGGTAAGAAAAAAACCTCTGGCTCCTATAGGGTAAACATGACCTTTTGGGAAAACAAACGTTCAAGCTAAAAAGGTCTATTGGACACAACACTATAAGCTAAACTAATCTCATAATGGTAGTACTATTCCAAAAACACTCACGAATAAATACTTGCATCTTGTTATTTAGGCGGTGGTTTTGGATATGAATTTTCCGCCAGTGCGGGCTTCAACACGGATGCAGCTGAAATGTCAAGCGGTGACTTCTTGTACATCATTTCCCAAGCCGTGTGTCAAAACTATTATAGCATGATTGACTTCACGAATCCGCCACCCTTTGACCCCGGGTTTATCAGCAAAGCGAAAACTCTGGCCGACCCGGAGAATGCTGATGAAGCAGTTCTAGAGTTTATCAAATACTATGGTACTCACTTCATGACTCAAGCAACGTACGGAGCAAAGTTTGTTCAGCATCACAAGGTGAGCCAGACGACGTTTGAATCCTTAAAGAACAGCGAGTTTAGTGTTGAAGCCCAGGCGAATTACGCGGGACTAATCAGCATCGGGGGAGGAATTTCTTTGGACAGTGATCAAAAGAAGGCCGCGTCAAACTTTTTGAAACAAGTACAGACCACAACTTATACAGTTGGATCAACACCACCAAGCAACGGTGATGCCATGACATGGGCAGCTTCTGTTAAACAGAACCCTGTACCGATGCAGTATACACTTTCTCCCATTGATTTGTTATTCACTGAACCGTTTGTAAAAGAGCTACCAACCGGCTTTGACTACACCGCAGTGAGGCAAAAACTCAAGAACTCTTCACAGCTGTATTGTCAAGCCCTGAAGCAACAGGGAATGGTACACTCATGTGAGGCCTACTTTCAACTTGAAACTCAGGGTGTGGACATCTATGAACCAGGTACTGCTCTGATATTAATCACCTGTTCGGCTAGTCCCGCGCGAAACAGTTATTTTTGTTTCCCGAGAGTGTCAATGTTTCCCAAGGCGAAGCCAAGGAAAACATTGAGATTCGAGGGAAACAAAATTAACTGTTTCCTGAGGGACCAGTCTTCAAGTGATATAAGCGAAAATTCATTAAACCTCGCTGTAACGGCGGTCGTCGGTCAACAATTCGCGGGTAACAGTGCACTGTTACCCTCTGACGTCATCGATTTTTGCAATGTTTCCCGCTCAAAGATTTGGGGGGGAAGCAGTTTCATTGTTAGATGTCTTGTGACGTTGACGTAAACAATGAGAGCGCACGCTGTTGGGAAGAAATTTCGGATGCTAAGAAGGGTCAGTTTGTGTCGGATTGCTACGTCCCGAGGCCCAAACCCTTACCCTCAGTTATATACGATTTTTGGCCTAACGAAGGAAGGTTTGGTTGACAGAGGGATTAAGAATCACGTTTACAACTTCATTCCCAGAAGAGACAGGAGACAGGAGACAAAGGACCCTCCCAACCATGTTGTTATGGCACGGCGTCGACGTATCACGTGACCAAGATTTCCCTCTACTTGTCATTTACTATTCATTAATATCTACACATATTTCCTGATTTGAGACATGTCAATTTGAATCTCACGTTCGCCGTTTGTCCTAGACTTAATTTTAAAGCTTTCTAATAATTTCAAGAGCGATTTTTCTTTTGAGTAACCTCTCAAAAAATAATCGTCACGGAGCAGCGATTGGGTATGTCTTCTCAACCCTTTCAGTTTTCCTTTACGACGAGCCGCAATTCAAACAAATGGCCTGAGGATAATGATCGCAAACTTTTGTTGTTTTTACAGGATACAGTTTTCTTCAAAACATAGACTACTCCACGTGTCTGACGTTCTGCCGTCTAGACGAGAACTGTACCTGTGTGGTATATAGCCAGCTAAATCCTCCTTTCACAGGATCAGTTTGCAGATTTTTCAACAAAACGACCAATCTGACTTTGATAAATCCCTCCATTTACGACATTCCAAGGCAATCGAATCTGATCATCCTCAAGAGCAGGCAAAATGCTTATTACATAAATGCTGACCTGGAGGGAAAACCGTTTTCCGTACGTGAGACAGATCAAAGCACATGCAACTGGAGTTGTTCTAACAAACAAAGCGGATTTGTCTTCTTCTGTGATGCCTATAGCTACGTGTACGGCGATGGTAGAAGAAGGTGCTCTCTGTATTCACAGAAAGACATTACAAATATTACCTACACCAAAGGTTCATACGTAAGGATGTAGTCGAAACAGGAACGGAACTAGATATGTATTGATTTGCGTCCCTGAATATTGCTAGTGCATCACATGTCGCTTTTTTAGATGCTTAGCTTTGTGCTCTTTACCAAGTAAAATATTACACAGAAGCCCAGAGAGTTTATTGAAAAGCACCATAAAATTGACTGTTTGTAATTTGGAAGTGTTCAGTTGTAAAAGTTCTGCTTCAATGACGTATCATATTAAAGAAATGTTTTTTTATTTTTCAGTTGTTGTTTCGTCCTTCTATTGAGCGACATCAATCTATTTTCACACCTTACTAGCTGTAGCAGATACGGTGTTAACGTTAACACTAGCTTAACTCCGTTTAAATCAATGACCCAGTGCGCTCAAGATCGCCTAAGGTTGTAAACACAAATAAATGTCCATTAATAACAGCTGATCACATGTACACGACAACTTTATCCTCCTTTCCAAAAAGCTATTTGTGTGAGATGGAAAAATATCATGCCATATAACAGACCCAGCTGCGGGGTTGAAGAGCATACAGTTTAGTGCAGGCTTAACTAGTAAGCACCCCCGCCCCCGTCCCCCTTTACATGATTTTAGAAACAGTCGTTGTTTTGGTCTTCGACCAAAAGTAGACTTATTCCGCAATTAGTTAACCTTGAGAATAGTCAAATCTTTAAATTTTAAAGCTAGCCAATACTTTCAAACCGAGTTATACGAAAGCATTGCGGATTCACGAATATTTACAGTCGCGACTCTTTGCCACCGAACATAGCCCCGTGCAAACGGACGCATCATTGCTGGATGTTACATGCTGCGTCCATTTGCACACCCTGTTGCATGCTGTTGCGTGTTGTTGAGAGTTGTTGCGTGTTGTTGCGTGTTGTTGGGAGTTGCTGCGTCCGTTTGCACGTAGCTTTACATGTAAACAATTTGTCTTTTATATGTTCATCAAGTAGTATAGATGACTTAAAATATTAATGGAACTAGCGGTTTGAAAATCACGATTTCGGATTGTAAGCCGCTTTCTTCCCTTACGAATCAACAAAGTTTGCTACTTTAATTTTGCTAATCATCTCCCTGGCGTTTGTACTGTGAATACTCTTGCTGTACCATCCCCAGATCCTGTCACCAGAAAGCTTCCATCTCTGCAACAAGAAATAATTTCCGATGTTATAGTGTACTCACGCTAGTAGCAAAGCAGTGATTTTGTTGCAAATAGTTATGGTGAGTCCTAGGACTCATCTTCTGAGATTCCCTTCTAATGACGAAACAGACGAGGTTAATAAGTTATTTATTACATGGCCTTTTCATTGCGATCATTTAAAACTAACAATTGGTCAGCAGATAACTTTTAAAAAACACGTCACACCTCAACGAGTCGTACACTTGAGCCATGATACAGACAGGTGACACTGGTCAGTGGATACCCTTTTTGACAGCTGTCAATTGATCATAACATTGATGTCCATAAGGATGTCTAGTATCATCCTAAACACAGATTGTATATACCTTGGACACCTAGCTAATAATGCCCGGTCATCACAAGAAAACACCCAATCAGAGTGTGTGTACTATTGTAACCATATAATAAACTGTAATAATATTAACCTACCTTGCTACAGCAAGATCTAGGATCTCTCCACTATGTCCATACCACTCTCTTTCACAGTTTCCAGACCGACTGTCCCACAGTCTGATGACTCCATCCAGGCAGCCTGTGTATATAAGAGGGGCTGCTGAGTCCCACTTGAGTCGAACTATTCCACCCTGTAACATTAAAAAAAAATAAAACTTAGATGAATTGATCACTCTAGAGAGGGACTCTTACACAAAAGAGATGGGTATGCTTGCCATCTGCTTGCCTGTTGTGGTATTATTCTCCTCGAGAAATGCATGTAACACATTTCACTGTACTTACAGGGTGTTTACATTGTTGTCGAAGTCTGTATGATGATAAATCCCACACTCCAAGTACTCCACTCAAGGATGCAGTTGCCAGCATGGGTTGACTGTGAAGAAACAGTGTAAACTTGGCTTAATGGTTTGTCTGTGCTAGAATGGTGTGAAAAAATGGGCTGTCTGTGACTAAAATAATGGGGTGAACTAATTAAATATTGGCCTAAAATAAAGAATGTCGATGGTGAAGATAAATGTGCAAGATTTGATTACCAAAATGTCACGAGTGTGGGGCAAAGAAAGAGTCTATTAAAAGTCCTCTACAAGTTATTGGCACTTAGGTAAGTGGGATGCCTGTGAAGATGTAGTAGGAGCTTGTAAGGGGCTCTTCCTTGATTACAGTCAACTCTTTATAACACAGACTCCAGTGGGAGTGGGAAGCCCTAATATCTACATACAAATTCTTCATTCTGATCTCCATACATTTCCTTAAAGCATTAGTTGAAAGATTTTGAAAAAAGATCAAACCATTAATTTTTCTCTTTGGTGATAATTCTTGTAACCTTCTCTCATGATCATGAGTATATATTTTTTACAGGAGATTGTTAAGGTATATGTACAAGCTTTCATCGACTGGGTAATAGGGGTTGATATCAGCTGTCACCATGTTGAGTTACTGTGGCAAATTCAGTAAAGTGTGTTGGTCACTTTTGGGAGTTAAAGAGTTGACTGAGAAAAAAATTTACAACCTCTTGCTGAAACATTAGGTGAAAATGAGGCTATTGGATTAAAGTTACTGTCTTACTGAGGAGAGAATCCAACAGCTTCAATGGAGGGAGGAGAATCTCCATCGCCATTTTCTTGAAATCCAGCAGCTAATGTACTTAACACCTGTGTTTAAAAAAACATTTGATAAGAAAATTGCACATGATTCATGTAAGCTACAAAAATTATTTTTCTTGCTGGGCAAAATAACAAAGTGATCATTAAGAAGTTTCCACTTCTACTCACAACAGTTCAACAGTTACTCTCAATTCTGCCGCTCTTGTTCCATGCAAAAAAGTTGTGATTCAATGTCGAGTTTAGAGATACAAAAATGTACCATTTCTTTGAATCCACTTAGTCTTTACCCTCCCACAAACATATCCTGTGTACCATGCATGTTAAGTGGTTTTTAAGACATTTTGTTCTTAGCGATTTTTTTCTGTGACCTGTTTAATTACCTTGCCAGTGTTGGTGTTCACTATTTTGACAGTAGAGTCTTCTGATCCTGTTGCTACAAGCACGTTATCTCTGTTTCCATCTATGCAAGTTATTGATCCCTGATGTGCAGTCCCATCTACAAAGTTACATTATTGTTTGATTCATAGAAAACCCATACAGTCGACTCTCTTTTAACGAACACCCCTATAAGACGGACACCTCTGTAATACAAACACTTAGAGTTGGTCCCTGCCTTTCTTTACTCCTTTTATTTGACTCTCTATAAGACGGACACCTCTCTAAGACGGACACTTAGTGCCGGTCCCGAAGGTGTCCATCTTACAGAGAGTTGACTGTATTTAGGATATGATAATTATGTAACTGTACATGTCAATGTCAATGTTTCTTACTGTCCAACTAAGTGGATATAGGGAGTGGACAATGATGATGATGATGATGATGAGCGATGAGTGATGATGAGAGATGATGATGGTGATGTTGACAGATAATGAGGATGACAGTAACATTATGAGGATTCTGTTGGTGATGTTCATGATAATGTCAGCATAACTGTCATCCTTATCATTAGTGTCCATGTCTGAGATATCAACATTAACGAATGTCAGATAATAACTACACTCAACTCTTTCTAAGACGGACACCTTTGGGACCAGTACTAAGTGTCCATCTTAGAAAGATGTTTATCTTAAGAGTCAAATAAAAGGGGTAAAGAAAGGCAGGGACCAACTCTAGGTGTCCGTTTTACAGAGGTGTCCATCTTATAGAGGTGTCCATTAAGAGAGAGTCGACTGTATATCATTACAAGTGTCAATGTCCAGTGTATGCCTTGACGTAAATAAAAACATGGTCAAAGTAAAGTAAGAGTTAATGCTATGCTAAATCTCAATTCCAGAATGTTACTGTCAATACCAATGTTACTGATGAAAGTTTCTGTAGTTACCTGATAGATGGAAGGTATGAATTCCTTGTCGCAAATCCCAAAGTTTAAGGCTGCCATCCTCGTATCCTACAGTAGCTCTTTTACCTGGGGATGAAGTTATCAATACGGTAATTTGTATGAAATTTGTTCGCTGCCATTTCAGCTGTCTTATGTCATTTGTTTCAAGGTCATGTTGCTTGTTGGAGTTTTACCCTATCATAGTCTCTCTACTATACTAGTACTCTATCACTGTTCCAGGGGGTATGTCTAAACTTTTAATTTTCAGAAACCACCACGTGGTTAGCTCAGTTGGGAGAGCACCCCTCTGTTGAGAGGGTGGTTGCAGGTTCAAACCCCGGCCGGACCAGCACTCATGGTCTTTAAAATAACTGAGGAGACATTGTTGCCTTTACAACGACTTCTGCAAATGGTTAGACTTTCTACTCTTCTCGAACAAGGATGAAAAACTGTAGGTCCCGTCTCACAGCACTTTCACTTATCTGATTCTTGAGTGATGTAAAAGAAATCACACCACTGTTCAAATAGAGTAGGAGTGTATACCCCGGTGGTGTGGCCAACCTCTTCTGGGCTGGGTGGGTTATCTGTAAGAACATGCTTAAATTAGAACCCTGTTCTGCTGTGTTCCACCTCATATGGTAGAAGTGATTAAATTAAAAATATATATATATTCCTGTACCATCTTTCATGAGTACTCCACAAGTTGATCTGCATCCATGACTCTGAAAAGTCTTGCAATCTCCACTGGGTATTTTCCACATCCACACGCTACCATCAACTGTTCCAGCAAGCAATACATGAGCTTCCTTGTGCCACTCTAACCACTGAAAAGCAGAAATAACAACTTAAGTTTAAATATTATCTATGTTCTTCTACTTGTTTAGTTTTAACTTCTATTTATGAATAAAATATTATCTACAACTTCACAGGAGTTCAGGCCTCAGAAGTAATCATTATTTATTGTGACAGTGCTGTTTCGTACGTAGATATTTCTTCCTTTTATATCTTGCACTAATTTATACACGTGTCGTCCCTAATATTTAAATCACCAGACATCCAAAAATTAGCAAGAATAAGGATGACAATAACAATAATGATGATAACTACTACTAATACTACATGTACATAAAGCAAGAAGTCAGTGAGATGGATGTAAATGGTCGAAATACTACATCACAAATTACATAAATCTTGCATTGCTGAAGTATCAGACTCCAAAATAAACATTCAGCATTGTTGCAAAACAATTTAAGATCCAAAGATTAAGTAATCTTAGTTGGGTTTAAAGTAAACATAGACCGAACACAGGTAGGTTATGCTCAGTGAAGAATATAGTATGTAATTTATTATAAAATGAAGTTCTTCTTTACATTGGTCAGCTTGTAGGTCCTCCCTCACTCCTCAGTGTACCTTTATAGATTTAAGTACAGTTCAACAGCAACTGTACATGTAAGTTTTTAATTGTACCTCTAGATCTGTGGTTTCAAAGTTCCAAACTTGCTTTTTTGTTGCAACATCCCAGACTAAGATCAGACCACTCATGTCTCCAGTGGCAACAAACTTAGAATCATGGCTGACTGCTGTGCAAGTCACAGAGTCCTTGTGACCTTTATGACAAAAAAAGACAAGAGAAACTTCCATTTATCAAATGCTTAGTGGGGGAGAGGGTGTGTTGCCAGTGTGCAGTAAGCTGAAAATACAGTATTTTGCTTGCTCCTATCTGAAATGAGGCTAGCTTTCATTTTGGTAAGCTGGAATTTATTTGCAGTTACATTGCAAATAATTTCTTATATGGTGTAGTTAGTTGTTTTAGTCATTTAATTAACTGAAGAATTGTATTAAAGTATTTGAGTTTTTTTGACAGAGCATGGCAGTATTTGCTGATTTACTTCAACACGCATAGGGCCAAATATTTAAACGTAGTTTAGCCAGTGTTTAATAAAACCGCGTTCTAAGTCATTTTCAATTTGCCCAACGATTTTAACTAAACTGAAACATCATTTGTCATCAACAGTTTTATGAAAGCATACAGAGAACACTAGAAAAACATTAATCTTCTTAAAACAACCCACCAAAGACTGAGATCTGGAGGTTCAAAGATTCGTTAAACCGTGGCTTAAGTTAGACTTCGTTTAAATATTTGGCCCATAATGTCCTCCACTTTATCAAAACCTACCAAGACATTCCATATGTGTCTCTCCATCTTGTATTCTCCAAACATACGCCTTGTCATCTTCGCCTCCAGTAACTGCCATAGAATTGTTAACTGGGTCCAGTGACACTGAGAATATTGAAGCTGATGACAACATTGACATTTAACAAAAAAATCAGCTATAATAAAATTAATGTTCATGGCTGAATAAATGCATGCATTATAACTGGTTAGTATGTTCACTGTATTGAAATAACACATGCACTCTATGTCATGTACACAAGTTTCATTTATTTATTTAGCTTTTTTGGATTCACGGTAGGTTAAAAAATAAATATTTTAACCTGAATTTTATTTTGATCAATAACATAATTGCATAAGAGCAAAATTATGTCAAAAACTTGTTCCCCATCCATTTTTGAGTTACTTTTTAATGAGAAAAAGAAATAGTTGTATCATACATCATGAACCCTAGAACAGTCCTTCGTTAATTGCATGAAGGAGAGCAAATCAATCCAGTCAGAGCGTAAATATACAGGGAGCAGAGCAGAAACTGGGGAGTTCCCTGGCCTGCCATTCATCTCACTTATAACTGTAAAGGGGACAATTTTCTTGTAGTTTAGTACATGTTAATGTTATATGTATTACCTGTATGCTTCATGTAGCACAATTCCGCATCATCTTTTTCATCTTTTGCATACATGTCACCATTTGCATCCCCTTCTTCACCGACATCAACATCTTCTATCCCAATGGCCAGTCCATCTGATAAAAAAAAAAAAAAATTACTGAAAAATAACAATAGTTATGCATGATAACAGTAAAGATAATGACAATATAATAAAATGAAATACATCAATGAGGATACTAATGATGTAGATGATGATGATGAGGATGATGAGGATGATGATGAGGATGATGATGATGATGATGACCGTGATGATGGTGGTGATTAGCAGTATGATTAACTAAGTGGAAATGTACATGGTTGATTACAAGGATAACAAAAAGAATGATGGTGATGATTTAGTTGGTTATAAAGCCTGTCATCATCTGTGCATAAAGGGATTTTTTTGCTTGTTTTCCCTAGCCTCTGATGTTTTGACTCCTGTTTTACATCACTCCTTTTTTTTACACTGAATACGAGCTCAACGAGACTGTGAGAATCAATGGCAAAAATGATAATGATAACTTCAGGTCAACATTTCCTTACAAAGCGATTTTTGTCACAAATCAAGCTTGTGTGTTTTGCTTTCCCATTTCGAACACGTGGTCTGGATTGGGGAAACAAAACATACAAGCTATAAGAAAGGCCTGTCCGAGGCTATTCCATCCACTTTAGTGTAATAATTAATTTTACATTTTATTTCACCTACTACACTCAACGCTAGAGGGCGAGCGCGTAACGTAATATGCACTACTACTGGTATGAAATGGAAATATTTTGTTTCTATATAAACCCACAATCGACAAAAATGATGACAACAATCTATTGATTTATGGGCATTTCTTAGATCATTCCCACGTGCATTTTTATATACCTTCACCGTTGTCGCCTTCATCGCCAAAGTCTACAACTTCCTCAAAATCATCCTCCAGGAATTCGATTTCTCCATCATTAGGGTTCTCTGAAGTTTCTTGCTGGTCCATTAAGCTGAAATTTATAATCCAAGTACTGAAGTACAGAACTATAGATCATCAACCTGAAAATTCCCCCAACCCTGATTTCACAACATCTATGATTCTGGGTCATGTAGTCGACCGTAATGTGTCACTCCTACCCAGTCTTTCTCACACTCCCAGGACTGAAAAACAAAATGGCGGAAAAGAAGTCTTCGAAAACAAATTTGTTGGATGATCTAAAGCAAGACAAGGCAGAAAGCCCTCTCGACTTTCTATGTAAGTAATGTATCTTCTTAGCTAAATTACTGTAGCTGTGCGGATTGTGAGATGCAAATAGCTTGTTGCTAAGCAAACTCTTGTCACAAAAGCCGCACAAAATTAGACAAGGGGTAAACAAACCTCACATGCAGTTGAGTTAAACAACCATTGGAGTTCTTGCAGAGACATTCAGTTTAAAGTAAAAGTCTTCTATATCTTATCTTAGATTCGTCGTCTAGAGGAACCTTAATGTTATTCATTTCTTTATAGCTCGCACTGGTGTCACAAGTGACATTAAAGATGCTATAACTCTTGTCATTGAAAACAGACCTGAAGATCCCATCTCTTTCCTTGCTGAATTGTAAGTACTGCTCAGGGTAGTCAAGGGGTGTGGCATGGGGTGTATGTTTAGGGGGGAAGGGACAGTTTCCATCTTTGTACTTCCTGTTTCTGGGGTCCCAAAGTCGTAGAGCGAGTTAGCTGTACCATAAGAGAGGAGGTAGATTGTCCACAACCTGTGATAATATATAATCTCCGGGGGGGGGGGGGGGGGACCCCCCAACCCTTTTGGTAGCGGGTGTATTTTTTTAAAGGCAATTTTAAAAAGGGGGTATCATTTTGAGGGGAATTTTTTTTGAAAGGGGTGCCAATTTTGGAGCCCCGGCACCCCAAACCCCCCCAAAAAAAACCCAAAGGCCCCCCCCCCCCCTCCCCCCGGGATAAACTAGGGTGCCAAGCATAAAACTTTGGGCAATTCACCCATTGGCAAAAGCAGGTCACCAGTGGCTACCATGTGCTTTCAGAGAATAGCCAGGAATAGGGTGTTAATTTTGGGCTTAGGGGTCCTTTGAAAGGGAATCTGTAAACTGTACAAATACTGACTCATATATTTTTTTTTCGGCTATCCTTTAAGTTTTGATTGCCATGCAAGTACTACTACAGCATTAATGAAAGCACACCAGAAGCTTCTATTGGCTCACCATTCAAGACCATCATTCCAAAATAACCTTCTCCTTGCCTACAACATCCTTCACAAACAGAAAAGTAAGCATTATCATCTAAATGATGCTACAATTACATGTAAACCTCAATTATCTCAAACTCCTTGATTGTCTGGACTAGTTCTTTTGTCCCATTTTAATTTTATGAATATTGGTAAATCAGCATGAAGATCTGAGGATGTTTTTGTCTGTTCAAGTTTCAGAAATTACCTTTGAGTTTTTTTCCCCTTTCAAAGGGAGAAAGTAGCACTCACATGTACTTGTTATACACGCAACATTTATTGGAGACCTGAGGTCAAGTTCTTGGGCCAACTTCCCCAGGCGTGACAATTGAACAAATTTTAATATTGCTGCCAATTCTTCATTGTAAACATGAAAAGTAATTCAAAGATGATATCAATCTTAAAAATTCCCTTTAAGAGAGTTCATGTAAAATTGTATAGTGATCATAATATAACTAGATTTAAAGAGTGTCTGTACAACTGTATCCTGGCAGATAGCAATGGCTTACATGGACTTACTGGAAAGACATATAATGACCTTTTGACAATGCTTTGCAGGTAATTATTTTAGTTACCGTTTGTAATTATGTTTTTATTAACCCTTTCAAACAATCTACAAATTCAACAAGAATGACAAATTTTGGTTTAATCTTAAAATACTTGAAAAACAAAAATGTTGTAGTTAATTTTTTTCCTCAGGTAATTTTTGTTTTTCTTTTGTTTTTGGGTATGGTAATGTATGTTAATGAAGTTGAAACAAAAGAAAAATAAAAATTACCTGAGATAAAAAATTAACTATAACAAAAACAAGGGGGTCATGTGAAAGCAGTGATGGAGAGTGACGTTTCATTGCAATGGTCCTTCATAGTATTTAATCCAAAAACTCTGAGTTAAAAACACAGCGTGATAAACAGTACCTCAGGAAATTACATGTACTGCTCAGTAGCTTTCATTTGAGCGCTGCACCATACAATTTCATTCACAGCTGTGTCAAGATCTTTCATCAAATTCTCCCAACTATTTTCCTAACAAAAACTGAGAAATAAAAATTAACCTTTGCCCTATAAATGGCTAAACCTTTGCATGGCTTGGATGATCATGTAAAGTAGTGATTGCATCTCCAGTAGGAGATATGAAAAGAGTGTCCCCAGTTAGTACTTTTGTGCTAAAGGGGTCGACACTCAAATAAAGTGCCTTTTTTTCTGCAGAGACCTGAGTGGAACAGAGGCAGAGCCTCTCCAGAAGCGAATCCTGTGTTATAACTATGAAGTAGTTCGATTTCCAGTGTTTAAAGTGGGAGTTCTATCAACTTTTATATATCAAGGTTAGCATAAAAAAAATTGTCAAGCTTATGAATAGTTGTGCCAAGGGTTGCTTCATAGTTTAATTTGAACCTTTGTACATTGCTTTTCCTTAGTCTCTTAGTTTCCTCAATTTGATAAATTGCCTTCAATGATAAAATAAAAGTAATGATGTTATAGCAGTGGCCTTTGTCAACAGTATGGCTGTGTGTGATGATATTTCTAATGACAGAACTTTCTCTCGCAGTTTAAATAACTGCATGACAATTTTAAAGTAGCTCTTTCAGGGCAGGTCTCAGAGTCTCCTACACCACATTTTTTTTTAATTATATTATTTTTATCTTCAAACCTAGTTTGGCAGTATTGAGTAATAACTATTGTTAGTTTTGTTTGCTAAATTATGGAGTTTAGATTTAGAAAGGTTGAATTTATCCCATGGGTATAGTGCTGGTGCTAGTAGTATTTAGTTAACTATTTACATAGGTTTTTTTCTTATTTTGATCGCCAGATTTTCTCAAGCAAGCTGAGTCACTTTATAATGAGCTGGACTTGACTGATAGAGGTCTGTGGCTGAGAAAAGATTTTATTAGAGGGTCCCCAATGCACCTTACACCTATCCCGTAGTCATGGTGACTGTTCGGGTGCCATGAACCTAGCAATCCTTTCCTGTGTATTTGATTTTGTTTCCAGCCTCTCTTAGGGTATCACAAACTTCAACCCTGTCCACTCAGAGATGGTATTCTCCCAACTCTTCTTTTGTGGGCACCTTCTTCTCCCTCCTTCCACTGTTCCTTGTAAAATTGTCTTTGCAAGCCCTGCAGATCTTGCTACATGGCTAAACAACTTTAACTTGGGTTTCTTCATGTGGTTAAGATGTCATTATAGGGCCTCATGGCTTGCCTGAATCTGTCTCTGACTGCATGGTGTTTGCTTTCTGTATGAGATACCAAGCAGTTTCCTAAAGCATCTCATCTCGGTGGCCTGCAATTTCTTCAGAAATTATGTCCAGGTCTGCAGTAGGTTTTCTGAAATGCAGGACATGCATTTTTTGAAGGCTGGGATTCTAGGTTTTAAGGCAAAATGGTGGCATGATTCGGGATTGAAAGTATATATGGGATACAGTACAGTACAGTTAAAATCCTCCAAATGGTAAACCTGTTGCTGTAGAGTTGCATAATTACACAGTCGACCAGCAAAACCACTCTGATCTTTGGTAGACCTTTTGGCCTTCTCAATGGAGACATTTAATAATTTAGCGATATGTATCCAAGGGTCCTGTTTGTATTGATGCCTAGACTTTGCAAACAGCATCTTCTCTGTCATTATCACATTTCTGAGAGATTCTAGACTCTGAAACTAACCATCACAATTACGGAATGTTCTTTTTCTCTTATTTTGGGGAATTTTTTGATTATTAGAAAACCCTTATCTTTGAGTTCTGTTTGGTTAAACAGGCAAAGCTGATAAACATCTCTGTGATGCAATATTGAGCGAGTTAAAACAGGCTGCAGTCAAGACCACTGATGACCCTATCAGGCAAGGATACACTGTAATTTTGTGTAATTCTGTAATTTTTACCTCTATTCTTTAGTAATGAGAACACAATAGTCTTGAAGAAATATGGGGTGAATCAAAAGAGAAAAAAAGAAGGAAATAGAATCGTTAAAGAATGTAAATTATCCCGTAATTTGAGATGTGTTCCTTGCAGTGTTATCCAAGTTGGCTCCATGCTTAGTTCACTAAGATTGAACAAAATCATGGCCGAGGTGGGTAAACGCTAACAGTTTTTATATTAAAACACTCAGCAGAAAAGAGTGAAGAAAAAATTGCCAAAATTCAGCCAGTTCTTGCAAATTGATGTGGAGATATAAGCACCATAAGGCTTGATGACTCCATACTAATCCTTCTAAAATTGGCTTGAAATGTAACGTTTAGGCCTTTTTAGAAGGGTTACTAGATATTAAGGGTGTTTCAAAATTATCCCAACAAGAACCCTCGTCATGTTTATAGCGGAGATCCCCCGTGCTCTGAAACACATTAGGCAGTCATTAGGCAGTCAACAGGACGGGAACGTCAGTTGACGACGGTAAAGCGCGTGGAAAGGACTAAACACGACTTCCGGTGCCCAATTTGCCGCTCTGCCATTGGTCAAGCCAGTTGTTTGATCTGCGCGCGCCGTCGTCAACTGACGTTCCCGTTCTGTTGCCAAATCAGCCTTGTTTTGTTTATTCCAACACAATAGCCTGTGATGTATTGGTCAATTTCAAAAGAGTCGGTTTTGCAAATAAAAGACTTCATGGACAGAATGTTTACGAGTGTATTTAATTTGTTCTTAGGCGTTAGTAAGAAGTGGAGGTAGCAATCAGACTATGAGTGTTGAGGAGTTCGTGTTTACAGCGGCCGACATCTTGTTGGAACAGGTTTGTCACTTCTGCAATTCTTGTTTTTATTTTCGCTCAATTCACAGGCAAACACACAGCAATAGATTTATAGGGCACTGTTGTGATTTTAGATACCAGATTTGAGATGACCGCAGTTTTCAATTTCCTTGTTGCGCCACGTTGCCAGAAACGAGCAAGGTTGTTGTCCAGGGCTACTCTTGTTTCCTTGTTTGTGTGGGGTCTGAAGCGATACTTCTGTCCCTGGAGGTCTGGGAAGTAAGCAAGCAATGGTGATGGTAAAAAGAAAACTTGATGCGAGCATCATGCGTGACGTCGTCGTCCACCCCTGCCGGAATCAGTTTTCGCACGTGAAAGAAGTACAGTGCGCCGGTTTAAGACCTAACCAATGAGGTGCCAAGATTCACGACAATGGACAAATCAGAGAGCGCAGTCAAGGACAAGTGTAGGCTTCGTCAGCTAGTCATAGCCCGCCTTCATGGATCTGATAAAACTCTCCACACAGAATTACTGCAAAAGGTAGAAGTAGTACAGTGCACCGGTTTAAGGCCTAGCCAATGAGATGCCAAGATTCACGACAATGAACCAATCAGAGAACGCATTTAAGGACAGGTATAGGCCTCGTCAGCTTTGATATAACCCGCCTTGAATTTATGGACCTGACGAGACAACCTCGTCCCAGGGTCCTCTCTTACTCGTCCCCTGAGAGGACCCTGGGAACAAGGTTGAAGCGGAAGTGGAGTACAGTAACGCTCTTTCCCTGTTGTTGCTGTGTTGGTTACGGGTGTAAAACGTTTCAAGATACTGGAATGGCTTAAGAAAGTTTCATTTAGATTTCTTCGTTTCTACAATGATACTTCGATTTGGATAATTTGGACAGAGAAGTGAACAAAACCAGTAATATTGAGCGATGTCTCGTTGAGATATATTAGTGCATTTCCGCCATAAGTTATGATCCAGTCTATGCACAGGACATATTTATAATCTGCTTATTTCAAAAAAGCGCTTGTCTGAATGAATCTGAAATTGCATTAACTGTAATCCCCTCACGACTCAGTATCAGTCTCCAAACAAATTATTCCTCACAAGTAGGTTGACCGTGACAGTCCGGGTAAACGTAGAGGACCGTTCTCGACAATGACTGACGTTTCGACAACCTGTGCGGTAGTCAGTTAAATCGCGATGTTACCAATCAGGCCAATAACCATCTAGGATGACTACCGCACAGTTTGTCAAAACGTCAGTCACAGTCAACAACAACATTCCTATTCAGGACTACGTTCACTTGGACGATCATGCTCAATCGACTTACGAAATAGCTCCTGGGCTCAAAGTTCAGTTTTAAACTATTCCTCGTTCTTCTTTTATCCACTACATCACCGTAGCGTAGATCACATCTGTATTCTTTTTCTGTCTTTTGCTCGTTGTGAAGCTCTCGACGTTTAGACAGGTGTTAACGAAGAGAATACAGTTTGTACAGTCAAGTGGTAGGCTTATTTTATTTTCATAACAATGCAATATGAAACTCACTGCCCATGCAATTAAAAGCTGGCAAGGAACCGCTCCAGACGAAGTGAATTCAACAATGGCACTATTTTGAAACTAAACCAAATGAGTCTTCTCTTTTTTAAGCTCAAATTATATAAAGAATTTGTGACTCATAAGCAGTAGATGGGTTGTATTTTAATAACAGTGCAATATGGGAAATATCAACTTACTTCTCATGCAATGAAAATCTTCCTACGGACCTCTTCAGAATGATACTAATAATACTATTGTCTTAAGCAAAACATATCTTACGTGCAATGACAGTTCTTTTTCTTCAGATTTCAAGCATACCAACGTTTTTTGCATTGATAAAACGTTTTACATTTTAATGCCTAATACCCTTCGCAGACACAGGTTTTCATGCTGAATAGCGAGGAGTTCCGCAAGTAATCTCGTGTTTTCCTTTTCAAGTAGATCAACTTTTAACTGGGTTTGTATTTCCCGCGCTTTTCTGGCATCTCGCGACTTTTTCGCTGATGCATTATTGCGTCTTCTGCGTTCCCAGTAACTCGCTCTCTCGTCGTCTTTTTGGCTTACGTTGTTGGACTCCTTGTTATTCTTGCCCAACGGCTCGTCCTCGTTTTGGTCACCAGGCTCTCCAAAATCGCTTGCTCTTTTTAAATCCCTCTCTCGTTCCCCGGCGCTGAATTCTTGCGTAGTCTTCAGGGTGTTCATTAAATCAAAGTTTCCTAATGCGGTGGGCATGTCGGAATGTTCGCCTGGTGTGTACTGTTCTGGAAACGGAAGATCTGATGCTTGCGAGTCATCGTTTAACACTTTCGAAGGCCGCGAAGAGCAAACATATCGCCCGCCCGCGGAGGACAGGGCACGAAACTTTGCGTCAAGATACAGATAACCAGTGCGAAACATTTCTGAGTTTCTGATAGCGTTTGAGAACGCTTCTTGGTTCAATATTCGCGCTCTTTTTGTTAGCTTTGCGCAGTTTACTTCATCATAGTCGCCCCTCTCATCACGGTGAAACGCAGCTCTTTTGCGGTCAAAAGGCACGCCATTACCCAAGGATTGAAACGATTCTTCGCAGCTGTTGTAGTCTTTGGTGCGAATGTTAGGTTCAAAATTGTTCTTCTTTAAAGAACGATAGTTCTTGCTGAACTCTTTTCCCTTATCCATGGCATGCTATTCTTTTAATGTTAGCTCTCACCTAAGTTAACAGCGCAATTTTATAAATGCTATTTCACCAGGAAGCAGCCTGCGATTAATAGTGCAGGTGTTTGGGTATCAAGTACGCGTGAGTTGGCCTCACGTTACGTTACCTAACGTTATAAGCACCTCCTTTAATACTAGACATGTCTACAGCACCTTCTCCCAAAAACGTACATTAATTTTTCAAAGTTTGGCGATCTTCTGATTTTCCCCCGCAAAACCCTCAGATTTGGGCACTTGGCCAGCTTTTTGGTCAAGCCGACATGTTTAGTTAAAAGCCATAAGCCGCGCACTGGAATGAAGCACTATGATGTTGGAGTAAATTGCGCCGAATTCATCAAGCTGCTTTTTATTTTTTAATGTGCTGTTTATCAAAGGGTACTCCGTGTGATTGTATCCTGGCGTTAGTATTTTCTGTTTTCTCCTTATCGACTCAATTTTTCTGGTAATTAATTCCTTTCTTTAACAATCATAAATCATTCTGAGTTTTACTCTAACTTTATTACCGCTTATTAGTGTCTCAAACATTATATAATACACAAAGTTAAGATCTCCGTTATATAACATATCTCTTCTCCACACGTGAGATTCTCCCACCTGATTAAAAAAAGAAAAAAAAAAAGAAAAACAGGGAAAGAGGAATTTTCGTCGCTCCAAATTGGGGACTGCACGGTTCTTTATTTCTGAGGACTTAACATAATGAATATTTTGGAAATTTTTCGGAATTTTCGCTTGTATTATTAATGATTTCCTAGATTCGCCAATTCTTTAGATGGTCACCGAGGCAGTGTGAAGCCAGGTACTTCGGGCCTGTGACAGTCCCAGCCACCACCCTTCCCCCCCCCACGGCAATGAAAGACAGACCACACTACCGGGGTCTACATTCCCTGCCCTTTTTGAGTAGCAGTATAGGTTCTTTAATCACCCCGTCCTATTGTTATGAAAGGACGAAGGAGACAAGGCCAATGGCTTAACGTCACCGCGTTCAATGACGCGATCATCAGGACTGAAATAAGGTCTTGAGATCACAGCCAGCGTGATATAACCGAGTTTTTTAAACACCCTTGTTGTTCCACCTGAGACATACCGCTTGGCAGACAGGCGCGCGCTTATCCGAATTAGCTAACTTGAGCAATTAGGCGAATTTCCAAGTAGCTTTTCATATTAAGCCTTCTCTTAATTTCACATCTACAACCTCAGATGACGCATTCTTAGCTTTCTCATTGGTTCACTGTTTGTCGAGTATCAGACATTATATTCTGTGTTCTAGCCTGAATTTCATCCGATTGCTTCGAGTCGTTTTCTCCTCTCATGCAGCAACGTCTGAATCGACCGGCCGTTAATGCCGTCCAGTGCGACTCGAAGTAATCGGATGAAATTCAGGCTATATACGGAAATGATTGTGATTGCGACAAGCACAGCAGTGAACTGTTATCCGCTGCAACTCACAGCTGAATTCTGCACATTTACTTGGGACTTCTTGTAAAAGTAGTAAAATGGACGAAAGCGAACGAACTTGAAGATTCAATAAAACGATTATTTTAATTGCCCTTGTTGGTTATCATGGAATAATGGTTAATCATTCAGTCAAGCGTATGTATTCATTTAGATTAGCGTAAAGTGTACTATATAAGCAAGGTAACTTTTGAAGACTAATTGGTCACATTCACAAGAGCCAGGACTATGGTTAAAATATGATTTAAGACTTAAACGCTGGCTAAAAACATTGTGAGTTTTCGGTGCCCTTTCGTACAATATTCTTCATTGATTCGTGTGTACCAAGTGTTTACCCTCCCCTCCCCCCTGAGGTATCCAACTATCCAGTTTCCCTTTCAAATTTCCGTGGGCATCTCGCACGTGTTCAACAGACAAACGCTTCCTGAATTTGTTTACTACATTTATAAAACTGTTTTTACCCAGCCTTCAGGTTAAACATTTTATTTTAGTTTCGTAGTTCATAAAAAGTCAAACATCACGTGTGTTTTCTTTACTGACATCCTACGCCGGCAAAATTAACAGGTGTCGTCAAGCATAACTTCGCACTTGAATGACCAAGAAGCGAAAAACACCAAAACACCAAGATTTTGTTTTAGAAACGGAGTCAATATAGTCATAAATATGCGCCGTGGAAAGGTGGTCGGAGCGAAAATCAATGCAACCAGTTTATGGCGATAACGCTAGCCGGAATACAGTGAATCTTAATCTCAGTGAGTGTTTAATTTCTTCAAACTCGTTGACAGTAATTCGTGAAGGGTCAACAGGGGAACTCGTTATCGCGAAGGAAGTTTGCGTACTAAACATCAGGTTACAGTTAAATCTTTCCAAAAAAAAAAACTGACTGCGTTTTGTTTTTACTGCTCACTCTTTTGGTGTCGACGATATCGGATGAAACACTTATGGCCAGAGCGAAGCAAATCGGCGTTTCCGGTTTGAGCGTTAATGGTCAGATGTCGAACTTCACTGAACTTTGAATCGAAATGCACACTCTATCAATCTAAACATTATTCGAACTTCTCATGATCTCAATCCTCTCAGTTTGTGTCGCCTCATAAAAAATTCGACGTTCCCATCAAGGCCTTATTCTTTCGTAGATTCTAACGGATCTTCTTCTGGTTAAAAAACCAACGAATTTAAGTGCGTTTTATGAAACTAATTATTGGTCCCCTGCAGACAAGATAAACCAACTTACAAAATCAGAGAACTTCGTTTTCCAATTATTAAACTTAAAAAACTGATTGACTTTAAAACTTTAAATTCATATTCATATGATAACATTGTATACTAAAAATAGATACAAAAAGATCATCGCAGTTTTAGACGCAAATTATGCGGTTGCGAATTAAATAGAAAGCGTGGAAAAATAAGGCTTTCTTTTCATAACTGTCACAACTGCATGAGTTGTTTAAGTTGCGTTTTCAACTGCGTTGATCTTCTTCCGTGGTTTAAATATATGAAATTCAAATATTCATTATTTTATTGTATGGTAAATTTCTCCAAAAGGAAACATTCTTGTTGACGTTGATTTCTTAGAATTTAACTTTTTGAATGAAAAATTCGATCCTACTGCTTATCTTAGCTAGAAAACTGAAGGGGATCGTAAATTTTTTTTTAAAATGACGTTGCTTTTTAGAAACTAAGACACTTTCACGTGTTGAAAAGTGTGCAAGCTATTTACTAAGTTATGCAACAAACGATTTAACTTTTGTGTAGGCGGAATCACGTTTAATGTTTCAAAAACGTTAAAAGGGTGTTAAACGTTTCCGGAGAGTTGGAGAGAGAAGCTAACCTTACATAATTTAGAGACCAACGCTTATCTAAAATGGGCAATAAAAACTTGAAATTGCAGCAAAAGAAGCTCCTAGTTTTCATAATCAGATTTAATATTTTTCGTGAAATTAGTTATAAAAACTCTTTTCCTTCTCATAAGTAAACGTTTGAGTGGACTCTTCAAAGCTAACAATGCTGTTTTAAAATACTACTACTACTACTACTAATAATAAATAATAATAAATAATTTTATGATCATTAATTTATTTATATTAATCCCTTATTATCATTATTATATAAAAAGTAACTGTTAAAAATTCCTTTTTTTTCCATCCACAGTATTTACAACACAAAGGAAAACAAAGTTTAATCGAAATCAAATACAGCAGGCTTAAGAATCCAATTGACCGGACGCGAATCAGTTTGCTGTTTGGATGTTTTGCGTGATCGAAGATTTTTTAAAAAACTTGAGATTTTGTGAAGAAATCGGGACAAGGTCGGGACTTGGTCAGGACAAGGTCGGGACTTGAACTCGGGACCTCCGAACTTTGATTGGAAGACCATCGCATTAACAGCTCGGCCAAACTCCTTCCTTGCTGTGAACGCGGGGCTAAATTCCGCAACGGGCCCTAGACTCACTAAACTATTCTTACCCCGCATTCAATGATAAAAATAACTGCAAAAGGTTCCACAAAAGGGTCAAGCTACTTTTGAAATTCCCCCTAAGTAAGACGGGCAACCTTCGCTTTACTGATTTTAGACTATTCTTTTTTAATAACCGAACTTTTTATTAATGGTAAAATTTGTTATATACTTGGGCAAGTATTACGTCTATTACGCGGAATGCAGTCTCAATTTTGAATCAAATTGTTAACGCTTGTTCCCGTCTTTGCTTGCGTCTAATCTTTAGTGCTAAGTTCCAGGGTAGTGGGGTGGGGGGTACTCCCATTATAGCTTATACGGGGAGACTCCGCTCAAACTAGATACAAAGGTAAGGATTTCACGAGTGAAAGTCTGCCATAAAAGGGCCTTTAATTAAAATACAGACGCACCTTTATATGGTTGTAGAATGCAAAACAGTCCGTATTTTTGCGTATTCAAGTACGCGCGAGCAGTCAAACAAAAGGTATGGAACTAAGCTGAAAACAGAGAGCGAGACTGGGGAGAGACGCTTTTTTCTCTCGCCTCACACGCGCAAGACTCTTACGCCACGCTTTACCGATTTCTTTACTGATTTTGAGAAAAAAACCGACTGTTTTGCAGTCTCATTTGCAGTTTAAATTGATTTAAATGTCACGACGACTGCCTGTTTACACTCTTAAGTGATTTGTTCTTGGGAAGTAGGTATGTGAAAAGGGTACCATCTTTGGTATAGGAAAGGAGTACCTTTTCTTCCTAAAAATGATAGGCAAAAGGGTACAACTTTGTTGGGTACCCCCCTCGGAATCCAAGGTCCCTGTTACTTCCAATCTTTGAGAAAATGCCATTAAATTTGGGAGTTTTGTAACTAGAAGAGGGTCTCAGCAAGTTTCACCGCTAATTGGTTTCGAAAATTAAACTTTCAAGATAATGTTTCTCTGAACTGATTCCACAATAAGCATGGTGCGAATGTTTGTGATTAATAATGCATTTGCAGTTAATTATTTAAGAGTGCTGGCTAGTTTGGGGCCAAGATTCTAGCTTGTCTGCCTATACCGCAG